TGTTGCCGTTGAGTCGATTCCGACTCATAGTGACCTTATAGGACAGAGTAGAACTGCCCCACAGGGTTTCCAAGGCTGTAAATTTTTACCGAAGCCATTGCCACACCTTTCTCCCTTCGGTTAGCAGCCAACCACTGTGCCACCAGGGCTCCTTTTATAGTGGTGGTGGTGGTGGTTCTTAGGTACCCTCGGGTAGATTCCAACTCATAGCGACCCCTATGTACAGCAGAATGAAACACTGCCTGGTCCTCTGCCATCCTTATAATCACTGCTATGTTTGAGCCCATTGTTGGAGCCACTGTGTCAATCCATCTCCTTCAATGTCTTGCTCTTTTTCGATGAGCCTTTATCAAGCACGATGTCCTTTTCCAGGTATTGGTCCTTCCTGATAACACGCCTAACGTAGGTGAAACAAGTCTTGCCATCCTCACTTCCAAGACAAACTTGTTCGTTCTTCTGGCAGTTCATAGTATATTGAATATCATTCACCAACACCATAATTCAAAGGCATCAATTCTTCTTCAGACTTCCTTATTCATTGTCCAGCTTTCGCACGCATATGAGGTGACTGGAAATACCATAACTTGGGTCAGGAGCATCTTAATCCTCAAAGTGACATCTTTGCTTTTGAACACTTTAAAGAGGTCTCTTGCAGCAGATTTGTCCAATGCAATACGTCGTTTGATTTCTTGATTGCTGCTTCCATGGGCATTGATCTAAGTAAAACTAAATCATTGACAACTTTAATATTTTCTCCATTTATCGTGATGTTGCTTGTTGTGAAGATTTTTGTTTTCTTTATGTTAGGTGTAATCCATACTGAAGACTGTAATCTTTGATCTTCATCAGTAAGTGCTTCAAATCCCCTTCACTTTCAGCAAGCAAGGTTGTGTCATCTGCATATCAAAGATTGTTAATGAGTCTTCCGCCAATCCTAATGCCACATTCTTCTTCATATAGCCCAGCTTTGGATTATTTGCTCAGCATACAGATCGAATAAGTATAGTAAAAGGATACAACCCTGATGCACACATTTCCTGATTTTAAACCATGCAGTATCCCCTTGTTCTGTTCGAAGGACTGCCTCTTGGTCTATGTAGAGTTTCCTCATGAGCACGATTAAGTGTTCTGGAATTCCCATTCTTCGCAATGTTATCCAGAATTTTTTATGATCCACACAGTCAAATGCCTTTGCATAGTTAATAAAACACAGGTGAACATCTGTCTTAGTCATCTAGCGCTGTAGAAACAGAAATACCAAAAGTGAATAGCTTTAACAAAGAGAAATTTATTCTCATACAATCTAGTAGGCTACAAGTCCAAATTCAGGGTGTCAGCTCCAGGGGAAGCCTTTCTTTTCTCTGTCTGCTGTGGAGGAAGGTCCCCATCATCAATCTCCCCTTGGTCGAGATGCTTCTCAGACCCAGGGACCTCGGGTCCAAAGGACGTGCTCTGCTCTTGGTGCTGCTGCTTTGTGCTATGAGGCGCCCACTCTCTGCTTGCTTCCCTTTCCTTTTATCTCTTGTAAGATAAAAGGTGGTGCAGGCCACACTCCAGGAAAACGCCCTTTACATTGGATCAGGGATGTGACCTTAGTAAGGGTGTTACAATCCCACCCTAATCCTCTTTAACATAAAATTACAATCACAAAATGGAGGGTGACCACACAATACTGGGATTCCTGGTCTAACCAAGTTGACACGTATTTTGGAGGGACACAATTCAATCCATGACAACATCTTTCTGGTATTCTCTGCTTTCAGCCAGGATCCATCTGACATCAGCAATGATATCCCTTGTTCCATGTCCTCTTCTGAGCCCGGCTTAAATTTCTGGCAGTTCCCTGACGATGTACTGCTGCAACCGTTTTTGAATTATCCTCAGCAAAGTTATTATTACTTTTTTGAAGCTTGTGATGTTTCTGGTTTTGTCAACATTTTAAAATCTGTAATGATTTCTTTTTTTTCTAAATAAATATATTCACTTTATTGCATAATTTTGTATAATTTAATTACATAATTTTGTGTTAATAATTTTGTATTCTTTTTCTAAAAATAGATCCCTACAAATTGTATGTTTCAGGCCCCACAAAACATAAGCCCCCATCCCCACCCCCTCATTCTGCAGATAAAGAACCAGGCCCATGGACACGGAAGTTTCTGGCAAAATAAAGGAAGAAGTTTAAAATATCTGATCAACAGAGGTTAGATCTGAATCTAGGTTTCAGGAAATCAATCACTTTCTGTAGGATAGAATAGTTATCTTTTCAGTAAAGAATACAAATGCATAGGGTATGATTCTCAATACACAAACCCAGGTATGCAACAAATGTAATTTTATGTTCTGTAATGCAACCTAGTTTTTACTCTAAACTCTATTCCACCAGGATGGAAGAAAATGCTTTATCAGAACTTTTGGGGATTCTCTCCCTGTCCCACCCCAATTTCTGCCACAGTTCTGGGGTCAAAGTACTGAGGAACAGGACCCATATGTTTCTTGGTCATCAGTGTACACGGGTTGTTACAGAGGTTTTACTTTTGTACCAATGTGGCCTTTTCAAGCACAGCAGCTATTTCCATGCCTTATTTAAAGCACAAGAAACCTTTTGTCAAGATAATTATAGAATTTGCAGCCTAAAACAATAGGTTGCTAAGAGTTTGGCCTGCAGAGTGTTGACAGACACCGGCTATTTAGGCTATTTATTCATCAAGTACCTAGTATATGTCAGGCACTGTTTTAGGCATTTGTGGATACATCAGTAGCAAAACACAAAGATCACTGCCTTCCTAGAGCTTACATTCTAGCAAGGGGAGAAA